TAGCGTATGGTTTTGCTCTGTTTACCAATTATTTTGCGGAACTTACTAAAATCAATCGCTAGAAAAAAGAAAGGGGGGGGGAAGAAAAGACAAAAAGAAGGGAAAAAAATAAATAACATAACATAAATACATCGACGTAAATTCAAACTAGGAAAAAGCTCAAATAATTAAAACTGGAAAAAGACGCAATTATAAAAAACAGTAATTTGGTAAAGAAAAAAATGAGAGAGAGTTAAAAAAAACGAAAATTTGTAATACATGAATAGGAATATGTTGAGTACAATTAATAAAGAATTTGAAACACAAATTACAGGATGAAATAAAAAATAATAAATAAATAATAAATAATAAATTCTGGTAAAATATTATAAGAATCCGTCAATAAACAAACATATTACGGACTCAGAGGCCTGCGATAGTTGAGAAATTGAATTTACGGGCTCATCTACATCAAGCCTGGCTGGTCTGGTGGTAAAGTACTGGACTTCGGATATCAACTCCACCCCGAGGCGTGGGTTCTAATCCCGACTAGGACGGCGCGGATTTTAAGGTCAGTAACAACTCTACGATCCACACCCTGGCCTCATGTGTACATTAGAAAGAAAATTAGTACCAAAGACGTCTCCTAGAGTGCGCGCACGCGGATATGGAATATGGAAAACTTCATCGCAAGTAGATATTTTTAAAATATATTTTCAATATTACCTTGACAATATTGCTGCAATATTGTCAGGGGGGCGGACAACAAACTATTGCAGCAATATTATTTCGATATTGTTAAAATATTGTTAAAATGTTTTTGACAATATTTCAGCAATATTTTTAAAATATTTCCGTGTTGGGCGGGATGTGCGGCGAGGTGGAGAAAAAATGGCTTTCAATTCGAAGGGCGACGAAAAAAAAGAGCGCCGGAAGGGAAAACAATTAAATCAGCGATAAACGCGGATCGAGTCCAGGTTCCGCGAGATTAATGAGAGAGCGAGAGAGAGAGCCGAAGAAAATGGAGACTTGTTGGGAAGCGTCGCACATCTCCGCGCCGTGAGAAGTTTTTGGGTGTTTTCTCTTGGCCCCGTCTCGGCGACTCCCAGCGGATTATTTGGCCTTTAGGCTATGCAATAGAGCGGAGTCATCAGGGGACCGAGGGGGTACGGGGGGGCGCCTGGGGGCCGCGGGCCTTTACTCCACATTAATCACAGAGGGCAGGGGTCCCCAAGGAGACATTCGCCTCCGTACTGACTACTCAGGACCAACGTTGCAGGGTCGAACCCTGAAATCGCCCTGATTTTGAGGGGTAAGAGGCTAGAAGCGTATTTTCGTTGATGAGCTGTCGAGCCAAAATGCCGCGATAATGGCGGCGAGATAATAATCGGGTTGGTTAACATTTGAGGTTAAACTTTCGAAATTGATGCTGGTCGGATGCCATCATCTTCATCAGGTCGTTTCTAAACCCTACTTTTCGTCAGCCCTGGGTAGACGATCAAATTCCGAGCCAATTCCTAACGAAGTAGACATGCTGATGACTGATAGTCACCATCTACCATCAAATTTTGACGGGCCGCACTTATTTGTTCAAAGTAAGATCAGAATGGAGTGCCACCATTCATCATTTCCTGCCTCAGGAAACATTTCTGCCAAGTTTTCATATTAAAATGAGGCAAATCAATGAGTTTAAGACTGATGACTCCTGACACTTTGATGCTACTTTGATCGGAATTGGTTTGGGAATTTGATCGTCTATCCAGGGCTATAGGATTATATTTTTGCTCCAACTTTTGCAAGAATTCCACCTTCTGTCTGTCTGGTGAGTCGCGATTTTGTTCCGAAAAATTATGATCGCGATAAACCAAATTACGAAACCGTTTGATCCATAGGTATTGGTTCGACTGATCGTCAACAAATATACGCTTCAGGGTACCGAAAAAAACAGTAAACCGGCCGTCCTTAAAATACGCGAGGGGCTGTCCCTATAGTTACGTAACGCTCTAGGTGAGAGGGGGGTTGAGAAGAGCGTTACGCTGTTTTGTTTTTACGTCACAGGACGTAAGGTAAGGGACCCACGTCACAAAAGTGTTACAAGGGGGGGGGGGTGTCAAAAATGCTGTAAAATGCGTTACGTAATTTAGGGACGGCTCCTAACGTTGTGAAGACGGGGGAACTCAAAATTACATCGCAAGAGCATTGCGATAGGAGAGGGGGTCAGAACATGCGAAATGTAGCTTTACGTATCTCATGAACGGCCCTTAAAGGAAAAAATGAAGGTATATGAGAAAATGAAACCAGGGGCAGTTCAAGGACCTTTTACGTAAGCTACTTTAGGAGGCAGTATAGGTCTAAACCTTTCTTGCGGGGTCTTACAATGGGAGGGGGGTCGAGGCTTGTATTGCGCCAGCCTCCAACTTTAAAAAAAAAATGAATAAGTTCAACTCAATACGTGTTTTTAGGTTTACGTGTTTTTAAGAGTCTGGACTCTAGATCCAATGTGTTTTTTCCAGTGAAGGGGCAGTAAGTAGTGCAATCTTACCGACTTTAGAATGTTTTTGGTTCCTTTTTGCAAAATGTACTCCATTTGAATTAGATGAGTCGGTTTTTGAAGGAATCTCGATCTCGAAAATTCGGGCGTCACTATGCTCTCCCCGCCGACGCGACGGAAAGGGTGGGTTTCGGGGGCGACTTGGCTGCCCAGAGGGCGCTCCGATTACCGGTCGCGCCATTGGTACCACCCCCCGAACCACCCCCCGATCCACCCCCGCGCTCCGGCCCGAGTTCATCAAATTATTCCAATTATCGTTTAATTCAACTCTTATTTTCCTCCTCTCGTTTATTTATACGTCCGCCTATTTACATCATTATTGACTTAATTTACTTGCCGCTATTTATTTTTCCGAATATTCGATTCGAACTTTCCTCCGTTTCCGCCGAGGAGGGGGGGGAGAGGGAGCTTCAAAGCCCTCCGACGAGGATCTTTTATCTTTTCGGGGAATCGGGGTTGAACTTTAACAAAGAGAGGCACCCCGAAATGACAAAATCTATTTCAATATTCATGGAATGAATGACCTTTCTTAGGAAATTTCTCCCTGGGGGACCGCTCCATTCACCGGAGAAAAATAACTTGATGTAAGCAAAAATATTCTTGAATTGGCCGTCTCTTGAATCAAGAAGAGAGGAAACGTATATTAAGATGAAAATCCCTTATCGTCACCTTCTGGCCAATATCACAAGAGCCATGCGAAGTTTCAAAATTTCTGCCGCCATTTTATTTTTTTTGCAGATAAATTGTTCAACGAAGCTGTTCGAAACTTTCACTGAATATCACTAGCTATAAAGAAAAATCGGATTCAGAAAAAAAAAAAAAAAAAAAAAAAAAAAAAAAAAAAAAAAAAAATACAAACGAGAAAAGATGACAAAATCTCTCATTTCCTGAGAGTATATGTCTAATTTTGTCGTCTTTCTGTAATACAATAGACAGCACTTTTAAGTAGTCGAGTTAAGACTTAGAGAGAAACCGAACACGGAATTTGGCCTGAAACGGCGCGGCGCAAAGAGCAATAATGACGAGAACTTGAGATGAAAAGGAGAAACCCTCCGCGCGGCGCGGCGGTCGGCAAATAACACATATCAGCGCCTTCAAGACTGCATGAATACCTCACGCATTGCGTCAAAGACAATGCGGTCGCTGCGGACAGCAGTAGGCGGCGTGAATCGCATAGCGCCTACAAGACTGCATGAATACTTCCAGCATTGCGCCAAACACAGTGCGGTTAGCGCGACAAGGCGGCGGAAGTTAAACTTATTAAACCACATTTATGTTCGTTCTTTCATAATTTTTTCGTTCATTTCATATAAATGGAAGGCCTTGTCCACACAGAGATAGGTTTACAGAACTTAACTTTCATGCCGACTTCCGTGAACTTTTGCTAGTAGTGTTGACAGGGCTTTCCCAAAAAATGTGTTCCACACGAGTAAACGGGTCTTATGCAACCAGGTCCCCCTTTGGCACGTTCACTTGATGGTTTTTATTGATGTTCCAAAACGAATGGCCTATGGGCGGCAAATAAGTAAATCCGGCCCTGGTCAAGCAGGAGCCTATTTAATTCCAACGATTTTATTATGAATTTAAGAGGAGCATTTTGTCGGTGAACGGGTCGTGAAAACAGTAGGGAAACGTTTCAACATGTCTGTAAAAATGGTATTCACTTCCAGGATTATTTCTCTAAATTTTATTTCCATTTTTAAGAACGGAGGGAAGGCTCCACAAAAATCAATATTTGAGAGACAATAAAACCTCACCAATATTTGACACCTCACAATAAAATTACAACACTCTGGCTGCCAATACCTAAAATGATTCGCTAAAATTAAACATTCAGCATTTTTTTCTGAATAATTCCTAATCAAAATATTTAAACAACAATAAATGTATTAATACACGAGTACTCGTCATCGAGTACTCAATCAATCGTCTCTATTGGCTCACAGTTTTTCAGTCATTCCTGTGAGTTGATCATGCATAACAAAGTAGAGCGTCTCTTTGCATTGATCACCCACAGTAGCCCCTTGTTCTGTGATACAACTATTCAAGCTCATAGGAATGCATTTTGCCTATATGCGGAAATGCGGGCGTTTCAAAGGGCGCTTGTCAATCACTGTAAAGAGAGTGCATAACAGCAAAGCGGTGGTAACAATATCGATGGTGAAACTAAGTGCCTCCGTGTTTCAATTCTGTCGTTTCAGAATCTTCTGTTTTTTTGTTTGTTTGTTTTTAAAGAATTCCGAGATCTTTCCGAATTTTTCAGCCATTCTACCGTTTTTTTTGCAAAAGCCTGAACAGCCTCCGGGTAAGATTATGTTTCACCTTTTACTTTCAATAGTAACCGGTAGTAATACGAGAGCACAAATCATTTTCTCACTATTGTGACGATTGGACCAAGAAACTATGGGAATAAACCTTGGGCAAATGAATCTAAATTAAATGAAAATGACGTAGAAGATTTTGATCTTACCTATTCCTCCATCATTCAAGTCCTCGCCGATTGCACTGATAAATCGTTGAATATCGTCTTTTTTCTCTTTCTTCAACTTCTCTTTATCACCCTCGTCCACATCGGAACCCAAACCGTCTTCTTCGTCGTCACCTGGAAAATAGAATACCCAATAAAAAAAAAGTACAATCAAACCACATTTTTTAAGGATTCATGATGAAACAAATTAAATGCTCACAATTTAGGATTGAGCTCACAATTACCGGTTCAATTAATGTGATCAGGATCTCATTTAGCAAAAAGAAACCAGCGCGATTACAGTTTTGTAAAAATGTTGCTATTCCATAATTATCTAAAAAATCGGATCTCCCTGCGCATAGGAACTAGTTTTGGCTTCCCACCAAAAATTATTAATTTTAAAGGAAAATATAATTGTGTAAATTTGTATACTGTACACGTACCAAGTGTTTTTAAAATAATCGGAGAAGTTGCACCATTTTAAAAAAAACTGTAATCGCGGTGGTTCCTTTTTGAAAATTCGATCCATCTGATACGCATAAATTTTAGTTTTTTCGGTGGTTGAGCGTCCCTATTTGAATCAGTGAAATCGAAGAGATACCGATGCGGTAACTCGAAAATGCTCAATTTTAATTGAAGACGGTCGATTTTCATAAAGTTCATTGAATGTTAGCGCATATGTTCCAACTTGGAATTTTATAATGTCCTTAAACGCTTGTGTTTCGGCTTCAAAAATATTTTTCTTAGACTAATTTCTTCATCTACTGTGCAGTTTTGTGTGTGTGTCTTGATTACTTTCATTTTTCCGAGTTGGTATATTTTCGTTCTCATCGATTCCTTTTCACATACGTTTACCTTCCCCCACAAAAAACTAGGCCTACAGCCTCAGCACCACGCTCGGATCACGTATGCGCGTATATAACGCGGGGGCCAAATTCGTGAGGCCGTTGTTTATCAACATTTCAAAAGCCGCCGAAAGGTTAGCAGGTGTCTGGCGTCTAAAAGCCACGCGCGACTCCGACGCTGGAGCATTGCAGTTTTTGTAAAATTTATGTTCCTACTTTTAAGACCGCGGGGCCGCGGGGCGGGCGGGGGAGGGAGAGACGCGAGGGGGGAGGCCGGCGGGGGAGCGGCGGCGAAGCGAGGGAGCGAAAGGGTGAAAGGGATGGATCTATTTAGAAGAAAGACAACTCCCAAGGGTAATTACGTATGTGATGGGATCCAAGCCGGAGAGTATTTAATGAGAAATGTTGAAAATTCTGCAGGTATACTGCCGCCGCCGCGCGGGGTAGATCCCTCAGGAGTATACATCATAATCCCAGAGTTGAGCGACCGAGCGCCCCGGGACTCACTCTGTGACACCGTGCACTGGCTCTTCGCATCCGGGACTCTCTCCTGTACTGCCGTGCTAAGGAAGAACGCCGTACGAACCATCAGGCGTTGCCAAATTTCCGTCGATAAAACACCAATTCCCTGGTAAACTTATGAATATTTTTCTTCCAATTTTTCAGGGAATATTCTTTGTATTTTAATCTAAAGTTCCTGAAATTTTCAAGGAAAAATATTCATAATTTTTCTCATAAATCAACATTTCAGCAAAGGAAATTTGGCAACTCTCGAATGCTCATACGGCGTTTTTCCTTAGCACGGCAGTGTAGCCTCGCGCTCCGTCCCGACTATTTTTTCGCAACTTTTAACCAAGACGCAAGCACTAGACGCGGCTTTAATCTTTCCTCTACCTTGTCTTATCTTCGTAATTTATTTCGCCTCCGCTCGACTCCCCCGTCTGCTCTCGAATAATCGACGGGTTTTTTCGCGGGGGGTTCGGGTGCTCGCGAAATTTTCCTTTTCCGCTCGCTCATCGATGTGTTGTTCCCGTTACGGAATAAAAATGTTTGGGATTATCTCCTAAAAGTGAACCGGTTTTTTTCCAAATAACGTAAGCGCCAATCTATATTTTCGTGATAGAGGGGTGGTTTTTTCTTCGTTGTCTCTGGTAGAATCAATCATGTCTGATTTCAAAATAGCCCTCTAAAAGAACATACATTTTTTGGAATTCGAAGATTGTCATCAAAGCGAATAAAATTTTTTTCTAGTTTTTCTCGCATTCGCAATTTTGCTGCTTACGTGATTTGGAAAATAATCGGTTCAATTGTGGCACCGCCCCAATTTTTGGATGATATGGATATTTTCAATTGATTGTAGTAGTATCGCAGCTCAAGTTGGGGTAGTACCGCGACATTTGGGTTAGTAACCCATTCTATTGGGGTACTACCACACTCAATTGGAAATGTCCTATCATCAAAGAGCCCCGTGCTCTTTTTTCCGTGGTTGTTTTTGAACCGGTCAAACCGTGTGAAATTAAACCGGGGCTACATATGATTTTGAGAGATTTGGGATTAAGTACTTTTCCTGACGTAAAACTTTGCAAAAAATACGATGGTGCAGCTGGTTCTTCTGAAAGCAACCCCAAAGCTCTAAAAAGCTATCAAAGTTGAGACCGTAATGGGGGGGGGGGGGTTCTACGTTACGCTCAGGGTCCACCTCTATATCAAGACAAACTCTCCATGCAAAGATAGGGAGTAAATACATTAGGAGGGTTGCCCCTTTGTTTTGGCAGTCCAAGACTGAAATCGCGGCAACCCTGCTAATATATTTGCTCCCTATCTTTGCGTAGAGAGTTTGTTTGATATGAAGATGGACTCTCAACGTAGCGTGGGAATGAACTAAAGGAGCTTTTTTTGAGCTTGGGAGTTTATTGCAAAACAAACCAGTGGCACCATCGTGTTTCTTGCACAATTTTACGTGAGGATAGGTACCTAAATCGCACGTCCCTCACATATATGCAAGAGCTCCATTCTTAAATCACCACTGCGCACACTGCTAAACTTTATGGATTAGTTTCATTGCATAAATTTGTAGTTTACGATTTCATTTGGCCTGCCAGAAACGCAACTTAGTAGGGCTTCGACTTTAGATCCCCTGCATTCACTTCCATCCTGATCGTGTTTCGGCAATAGTCTCCCGATAATTTTTCTCGGGAGCGTCCATTTGCGCCTTTCTCGACTCCCGAAAGGTCGAAACCGCAGCGGGTGCAAACGAAAGTTCAAAATCAGTATCCGAACGGAAGGAATAAGCGAGGCAAATAATACAATTACGGCCACTGCCCACTGCAGCGGGGCGGCCCGAGAGGACAAACCGCAGGTGGTTCCGGAAAAACAGGGTCCGGCCGCTGCGGCAAACAATTACACCGACGCAAGATTGTAAAACCATAAAACTAATGAGAACGACAAATGCACCGAGAGGGGTGGAGGGGAATGGGGTGGGGTGGGGGCGAAATAATGAATTCGAGGGTCCGATCGGCGGCCCTCGGCGGAACGCGGAAACGGCGCGGGGCTTTTTCCGCGCGGGGAGGGGGAGGGGGTGGGGGAACGCGGGGCAAATTATTTTAATTATCTAAACGCCGATAATCGCGACGGCCCAAAAACTGAAACATTTACGGTGGTGCCGCTTCATGCGAATAATTTAGTATAGTTAAGAAATTTTAATTTCATTTGCGACCCGCTATTTTCTCAACCCCACCTGCAACACTTTCCCCCTCCTACCCCGTGGAGAAGTCCAATCTGGTGGCTGTGAGAGGTATTTTTTGAGGAGTCATTTTTCAGGCCTTTTTAAGGGATCCACTTTGGTGGCCTTTTTACGGCCTTCTATTCAATCAATGTGATAGAAAAATCAACAGCTTACCGACAAAATGCAGGGTATGTGCCCTTGAACATCTTCATGCAAATAATTGATTCTAGTTAAGACATTTTAATTCATTTTCGACCCGCTATTTTCTCACCCTCTCCTGCATCACTTGCCCCCCTTCTACCCTGTGGAGAATTCCAATTTGTGGCTGCGAGAGATACTTTTTGATGAGTCATTTTTCAGGCCTTTTAAGAGATCCACTTTGGAGGCATTTTTACAGCTTTTTTAAAGAAAAATTAATATGATAGGAAAATAAACAGTTCAGCGATAAAATACAGGGTATATACCCTTGAATTTGGTCTCAATAAGGCTAAAGTACAAAATAAAAAATAAAAAAAAAAACACACACACACAACCAGGACGATACGCCTCAGGGTCAATTACGCTTATCCTCAGCTGAAACAAAAGTAAAGAAGGAACAACATGTGTGCCTTTATTTTCCTCATGTGCAGAGGCTTTGATAGATGAACTAGAAGCAGCAGTTCCTTATGTTCCATATGTACCTTATACCTTTGGTATTCCTTTGCAGATAGGTGATTTCTTGAACGAACCACAGACGGTAGTTCCTAATTGCAAAATGAAGTCCAAGCGACAAAAGTGAAAAGTAGATTATTAAAATCGATAAGCGGGATCACAGATCTATTTGAATCTGCGGAATCGTAAGGTTAAAAAGTTTGTTCAAATAAAAGTTGAGCAGTGACTAATTTCAATTCAAGTGAGGGCCGTTAAAAGAGTCAATTTTCGGCTCAATCTTGCTTTTCAGCCTCGCGGACCCTAAACACTCGCACGGTACATCGCTTCCTTCCATTTAAATGTATCTGCGGGGAGACTGAAATTCTATCATATATAAACAGTGTTGCAAGTGTATAATCGGCTTTCATTAGTTCATACAGCGATTGATGGAATATTTCCTGTCCGCTAGTGCCGCGCGCACTATCGAATAATAATTATAACTATACTCAGATGAAGGAGCCTTAGTCCGCAGAGGCATTTTCAGTGAATTTAAAGCATCGAAACTTGACTCATATTGCCGAGGTGAAAATTGAGTTTTCGGGGTCAACATTTTTGCATAGTTTAATTTGAATAAAACTTTGCACGACACAGTTTGGCTATATATTTATCTCTTTTATCTCTCGAAGAAATTAAAACTTTCCCAGCCTTCTTCACCCAGAGACTTCAAACGTAGGTTTACATTCAGGAAAAGATAACCACAATTTTTTAGAAGGTATAAGATTTGATCTACTCGTATCATTTTTGACAAGTTTCCCAGGAAAAGTGAACACAAATCGTTGCACCTTTGTAAGAATGAAAGTCAACTTTGTATATACGTCGCAGGCGGCTCAAGTGTTGTTGCTAAAGATCGCAATAAAACTTGCATAAACAAATGG